GTCAAAAGACAACCCACCGAACGAGAAGCATCTTTGCGAAACAAAGAACAGGCCGACGTGGGAATGAAAACACACCGACACAGTTCAAATCACAGCTGTGTGCTAGTTTGAATTTATAGATCTCAAGAATCACGGGACATGTGAATGGTGTGAAACAAGCGATAGTAACAAATGTGCTGCAACACAGGAAAACACTAGTCTGCTTGTAACTGAGAATGTTCTGATACAAGGCACACGGTCACTTGTTGGGAACTGAGCACGTACCTTCCCGAACAAGTCAATTTGTTTCGGTTCTCTGCGCAGTTGATTTTGGTCTGTGTGAAATCTGTGTGTAGTCTGTGTGAATCACTGGCGCCAACTCGACTTGATTCTCAGACAGCGCAATTTTCCTCGGAGCAGGCCGTTCAAGACCTGACATTTCCCCCTTGTTGAAATAGTTAAACCGGTAGTTGTATAGGCCTGCCTTCGGGGATCGACCTGCAAGGGTTGCACGCATCTTCTAATCCGTTGTGGCCTTAGTCGGTGTTCACTATCAGTACGTTCCACGAATTGGGTATCCTGTCCGGTCGAGGTGCTTGGGTGCAGTTCATAACAATTCATTGAAATCAAATCCTTTGGGGTCACGCGTCGCTGGGATCCTTGCAAACCCCGGTCGCAGTTGGTTGGCATGACGAACCCATACTTGCCTACCAAGGCGAACATCGTACATTACCTTGCCATGTCGTCCCACGACTTGACCTGGTATCCAGCTTACTTGACGCCCTCGATGAGAGTAAGCAAACACTACGTTTCCAACTCTGAAATTTCGGCGCCGTGCTCCGTACCGTCTGTTATATTGGGTTTCCATATCCGAATTCGTACGACGCATCGATGGGCGTTCTGGAGCCATGAGATCTAAGGTGGTTCTCAGTCTTCGGCCCATGAGGGCTTTAGCGTGTGACTTCCCATCTGGTGCATTGGGATTCGGAGTTACTTGGTAATTAAACAAGAATCTTTCCAATCTTTCATCCAGCGTTCGCTCGCCCTTCGATTTTATTAATGAACGCTTTAGGGTGTCGACATAACTTTCTGTTTGTCCATTTGATTGGGGATGATACGGTGCAGTCCTCATGTGTTGGATTAAATTGTGTGCGCAAAACTCAGCGAATTGATAGGATGTGAACTGTGATCCGTTATCCGATACGATTGTTTCCGGCAGACTGTACTGACTGAAAACACGCTTCGGCGCAAGGATGGTGCTGTTTGTGGATGTGTCTCGCATCATAATAACTTCAGGGCACTTAATGTATGCGTCAACAAGTATGAGAAAATAAGTCCCCTCAACTGTTCCTACAAAATCTCCATGAATCCGCGACCAGGATGATTCGGGATTTGGCCAAGATTGCAATGTTGTCCGCACCGGTAACTTGGAAACACTGCAGCATTACTAACAGGATCGTCCAATGTCTTCTATTTGACTATCTATCATGGGCCAAAACACGTAACTGCTTTCATGCAGGCGATTCCTGGGTGGCCCTTATGCAACTGCCTCAGCACGCGTTACCTGAGTACTTCGGGAATGACAAGGCGATCCGCGAAAAACAGACAGGCATCGACTTCGGACAAAGCGTCGCGTTGCGTGAAAAACTGTACAATGGATTCGTCAGGGCATTGCTTTGACCAACCTTGTCTCGTATAAGTCAAAAATTCTTGTAGCAATGCGTCTTGGTTCGTGGTTTGTTGAACCACTCTTGCGTTTATTGTTACAGTATTCATGGCATAGTGTATCATGTGGTTGGTATCCGTGTTGGTTGTCATTGAAGCAATAACGGCATCCTCAGGCTCACGTCGACTAGTATCGATTAATCTGGACAGTGCGTCCGCTTGCCCAATAGAGTCAGTTAACGAATACCTCATGTTGAAATCGTATCCCAAGAGCAAGGTGGCCCATCTCTGAAGTCGACTGGCCATATACGCCGGAATACACTTATTGGATCCAAAGATAGCGAGTAAGGGTTTGTGATCCGTCACTAATGTGAAACGCCGACCGTAAAACATTTTGTGAAATTTTTGAACAGCAAAGACAATAGCAAGAGCTTCTTTCTCGATTTGGCTGTAGTGCTTCTCAGAGATGGTCAGGGCTAGTGCCGCATGCGCCACAGCCTTTTCTGAACCGTCCGGAAAGCGGTGTGAAATGACTGCACCAATTCCATAGCTCGAAGCGTCTGTAGCCATGATGATATTCAGATTCGGATTGTAATGAGTAAGCAATAGGTCTGATTTCAGCAGAGATTTGAATTTCTCGAATGACTGTTGACACTGCCTGGACAATTTCCATTCGACATCTTTCATCAGCAGATGATCCAAGGGTTGGCGTAGACGATGCATAGCCGGCAGAAACTCGCTATAGTGACTAACCATTCCGAGGAACAATCTAAGAGTTGTGACATCCGTTGGTGTAGGCAGTCG